TGCAGGACTCAGCACACTCCACCTTGTGAAGGACTCAGCATATAGCACCATGGCATGTGCAGGACTCAGCACAGATCACCCTATGGAGGACTCAGCACAAAGCTCTGTTCCACAAGCTATAATTAGAATTAAGGTGGTTTCACATTCTTCGAGGATCATTTCATATCTATTGGTTTAGTGGGGTGTTTTTATTTTGGGGGAGGTTAGTTATGGCGCTTGAGCTCAAAACACGGGGATACTATTCTAATAACATTTGCTCAAAGCTAGTGCGCTACCATTTCAAGCCATATTTCAAAGATTCTAGCAGACTTCCTGCCAGGATTTAAAGCCCCCAAGCAGCCAAGATGTCTGGGGTAAGCCAGGGTAAGCCAAAATGATGGGGGTAACCCATGGAGCTGGGTTACAGCAGTTTACATCTGGCTAAGTCAGGTTAGGTGACAGCTGTCAGCACCAGACTCCTAGCTTTCTCTGTGATGAGGTATTTGATGTCCTATCCTTCTATAGTTGCAGTGAGTATATTCTACCTTTTTTTTTTATCTTTTGGTAGTCCTGGGACTTGAGTAAGGGCTTTGACACTGTCCCTAAGTGTTTGTGCTCAAGGCTAGCACTCAGTTGATTGAAAGACAGCAGAACTTCTAGATTTACTTTTTATGTGGCACTGAGGGTTCGAACCCAGGGTTTCGTGCTTACTAGTCAAGCACTTAACCAACAAGCCCCAGGAGTGAAAGAGTTATAAATAGATAGAGGTTGCTGTGTATAATTTTCTATACACAAAAGATGTCTGTACATTATTAATTTATAGATAATATTACTATGAATTTTTAGGTATTAAGTTGTGTCTCCATTTAATCATGTGTCTCAGTTAACAATTAATAAAGCATTAATTAAAATTATAAGTACATACATCTGTACATAAATTACATATTTTATAGAATGCGACAGATGTCTATATAATTAAATTATGCATCATGTGTTACTACCAATTATTAGGTATTTATGTTCCCATGCAATTTTCTTTCTATTAATGCTTAACAAAATATTAAACTTAATCCATGTCCTATAATTAGTGTGTCTAATTTTATCCTAGATGATTCACTACTAATTCAATCTGTTTTTCATTTATTGTAGTGACAATTCTTCCACCAATAACATTTTTTACATTTATGGCATCCTATTACATAGCATATATATTTGCATCTGAATTATACATCCTGTCACTGAGCACTTTAAAAGAAAAGAAAACATGTGTCACGCTCGGCTTCTTCCTCCTCGATTACATTTTTGGCAGTACTGGGATCTAAATTCAGGGCCTAGAAGGCTCAATTCATGAATGGGTGACTGTCAGCACAGAAGCCTCTAGCCAATTCATCAGCCAGGCAGTTCCCAGGCCCTGAGATCGAGCCCCATATGTTGACCACATATTGCACTTAGTGTAGTTATTCGTTTTATTTTTTTATTAATTTATTTACTATTTATTTTATTGACTGTTATTACACATGAAATATTTACTCCATATATTACATAAGATATAGATTTGCCTATGTATGAAACTTCATACCTTACACCCAGGACTTTCAAAGAATCAGAAAACATGTGTCACCATGGGATTCTTACTCCAAGATGCAATTTTTGTGAGTGCTGGCATTAGAACTCAAAGCCTATAAGTCCCAATTCATGAATGGGTGAGTGTCAGCACGCCAGCCTGGGGCATATTGAGCTAACAAGCATTTCTAGCACCTGAGATTGAGCCCCAGGGGTTGACAAAATAAGAACAGATTGACATGCAGATGGTAGTACACAAGTAAATATAGATCTTTATAGAGTGCCAGTGATGTCTATACATTATTCCTGTATATAGACTGCATTCCTACCAATTCTTGGGTATTTATTATGCCTCCATGTAATTAGTATTCTTGTTTTCATCCTTAATGAATTATTAATAAAGCAACAACTGTCCCAAAACTATTGCATCCATGTAATTAATACTATTCTTTGAATGTGTCAAAAATATTCATTAAAATCCATTGGTCACCTAAAATCACTCCATCTAATTGTATAGTAGTATTCAGAAACAACTAATTCAACTTTGCCATTCATAATCTTCCATCGGTAATCCTATGAATAGGAACGAGACTCTTAGTATCTCCCTCCATTGGTAGCGGTCAGGACTGTGCTTCAAACACATGGCCTATGTTGCTGTGTTGGCCTTAAGGCTTCCCTGGTGGCCCACCAGCCTTCAGCAATGCCAGGTTACCAACATTTTGCAGCCGTGTCATTCAGTCCCAGAATGGTCACTTTGCAAAGAAAACAAATGTAAAACTGGTAAGTTGCCAGTTTTTATTTTTCTGTGTCGCATTATTTATTATTGTTTTCCTGTCAGCATTTGAGGCCCAGGAACCCAGGTTTGGCTTTGGGTCCAGTGGTTGCACCCCAGCCTAGAGTGATCAATGCTGAGGCAAAATTGCCACTACCTGAGATCAAGCCCTGTGCTTGAGAAAATAAAAATACATGCATACATACATATTTAAAATATTTTAATATTTAAAATATTATGAGGCTCCTTGGCCTGGAATTCAGGCCATTGTTTTTGCCAGGCCTGGGATTTGAACTCAGGATGTGGGTAAATCTGTAGCACTGTGGGGGATGGAAAGATCACCGGGCTGGAAGACAAGAAAGTCAGGCCTGTTCCCAGGGCCTGAATTCAAATCCTAGAACTTGAAAAAATAATATTCGTATATATTTGTAATACATGATTCATATTTACATACACATGTTTATTGCATATTGCAGTTAGTGTATTCATTTTATTTTGTGTTTTATTTCTTATGTATTTGAGAGTGAGCATGATTACACATATAACATTTTGCATCCTATTACATAAGACATAGCTTTGCCTATGTATTCTACATCATTCCTGAGACCCAGGACTTTCATCGATACAGAAAACAAGTGGAACAATTGGCTTTTCGAACAGGATTAAGTTTTTGGCAATTCTCTGACTTGAACTCAGGGCCTAGCAGGCCCACTTCATGAATGGTTAAATGTTAGCACACCAGTCTGATGCAATTTGAGGACCTGAGATCAAGCCCTAGGAATGGCCAATATATAAACAGGTAGATGTTTAGATTGCAGTGTGTGTGTGTGTTTGTTTGCGTGTGTGCGTGCATGTGTGTGTGTATTTACATATGTATATGCATCTATAAATATATACAGAGAGAGACAGATAGAAATTTATGTAGAATCTAGTGTATAACACAATATAAAGAGTGTTGTCTGTACCTTATTTTTATATATTCTATTACTCCCAATTATTTGGTATAAAATTATGCTTCCAATTATCATGGTAGAAGAATTAACAAAGTATTAAGTAATCAATGACCTATATTTATTGCATACAATCTTATACTGGAATGACTAGCTAGTTAGTAATTCAATTAATAAATTTCAAATATTCTATTAATGTTCCTATAGATAGGAATGAGTTTCCTAGGATCTTCAGCTGTGTGTAGGTGGCAGTCCTAGGATCGATCTCAGGGCCTAGGTGTCTGGTTTGGCTCAGGCTTCACTGACAGCCCCTCAGCCATCATCCATGCAAGGTCACATACAATTTTCAAGCCAAGTCATTGAGACTCAGGAGGGTCACAGTGCTAAGGAAACAAAAGTAAAAACTGTTGTGTAACATTTCCTGGTTTTTCCTCCTCCATTTTTGTTGGTTTAATGTATTTTTGCCAGTGCTGGGAGTTGAACTCTGGTCCTAGGATCCCTGGATCATCTGTGGATGTAAAAGTTGCACCACAGCCTAGGGTAATCATGGTTTAAGACACAATAAAATGTTTCCTTGAGCAAAAGGAGCTCAGGGAAAATGTCTAGGCTCACAGTTCAAGCCCAGGACCTGCCACATAAAAAAGAGCCAGTAACTCCATGTGTCTGTGTATGTATGCATGCATTTGTGTCAGTGAAGATCCAGAGTTGCTATGAAGAACGGCACCCAGCTAGGAAATTTGCTTTGAATAGAATGATTTCATAGCACAGAGTGCTTTCAAGACAATCCATGTTTCGGGGCTCCCTCAGTGTTCCCAGTGTAGCCTGAGGGGTCTCCATACCCCAGGCTGCCGGAGGAAGTCAGCTTCATTGTTGGAACAGGCAGAAAAAAAGTTTCACTTCTGTAAAGCTGCATAACAAACAATTCATCCGGGAAAATTAATGAGGATGAATGTGCGCAGGTTCTGAAGGTCAGGAGAAAAAGGCCTGTTTGTACCCCAAGCTATCTCTCTCCCCAGTGGTCTGTTTTGATAGGAAACCTTCATTTGTGCCACCTTCTGTGGCAGGCCAAGTTCCCTGCACTCATCCTGTCTTTGTAAGACTATATTTCCTTGTTGAAACAAACTGCTACAATTAATTCAAGAGTCCTTCTGGCAGACAATTAGGGAGCTGAACATAATGGAATGATATATTATTGGCAAAGGTGCCTCCATGTGGTGTGTGTGTGTGTGTGTGTGTGTGTGTGTGTGTGTGTGTGTGTGTGTGTGTGTGTGTGTGTGTGTGTGCATACACCATTCCTGGTGTTTGAACTCAGGACCTAACTGAAGAGCTAAAGTAATTCCATTTTAAGATCAAGCCCCCTGAGCTGTGCTGCCCTCAAAGTAACCCCCAAAGAGAGCTGTGCTGCCAAAGAGAAAAATAGTTCTCAGAAAAACCGCAGGTTGCCACCAACCCTGCCCACCTTTAAAGAACAGAACAGTTGCCCAGGTGTTCCAGCTGAAAAAGGGAAGTGTGATCAGGGTGGACATAAACCCCCTGAACTTGTGAACTTGCTTGTGTGGAAACCCCCTAAACTTGTTTGTTTGATACTATAAAAGCTGTGTCAATTTTATGCTTGGGGCCTCTTAGCATCACCAGTTACCAAGTACACATAGGACCAAGCTCCAGCTTGCAATAAATGACTCTTTGCTGTTTGCATTGATCATGGTCTCTGGTGGACTGAGAGGGGGCGTCCGAAATCTGAGTACTTTATGTGGGAGCTTGTCCAGGATAGCCCCCCCATAAGCCACACAGATACCTGATCAGCGAGTCGTCCAGCTAGCCGGTAAGAGGGGGTGCAGCTGCTTTATGTTGCGTGTTATGTGTTTGATTTGCAAGTAGGGTTTTAGAGCTGGCAAGAAACGGTGGTAGATGTGCTACAAGGTAGCCAGCAGGCGAGTTGAAGAAATTCCCTGGGCCCTTGGGGAAGCCTTCCCCAGTGGACTCTCGCTTCACTCTGTCGTCTTTTGGACCATGACTTGTCCGGCCTCTGCTACTCTGGGTTAAGGGTAGATTATCCACCTCCCGGGTAGGGACTCATCGGCCTCCGCCATCCTATGGGACAGGTACTTGTCTGGCCTCCACAACCGTGGCTTAGGGGTGGATTCGAGCTCGAGATCAACATGCATGCTCTCTTTGTCTCATTTGTACTTGCCATTTTAATTCAGCACCTCTCTTTCTTTCCTTTCCTTGTTCATTTAACTTTCATTTTCGGATCAGCGGGCATCCTGGAGCCCCCCGAATGGGGTGGCCAGACGCTCCTTTCACCTCAGCCACTCTCCCGTTTTAATACATTTGGAATTTTAGGATGACATCAAAGGTTGACTTATTCTCTAGAAGAGGAGGCAGTGGGGGAAGGGAGAACCTGCAGGATCTAGCAATAACTTTGAAAGGGGCCTGCAGGGAAAACTCTAAGCCAGATGAATCTGCCACTGACCACCAAGTTCCACCAGCAAGATCTTAGCCTCGGGCCTTGGCCCAGAGGGTCTGAGTATGGGGGGGAGACTGTCAGTCTGAGGGGATGGCTTCCAGGGTCTTTTTTCCCTTGCCCCAAGATGACTGAGAATTCTCCTCCACCTTGGAAGGCCTCTAGATCAACATTTGCAGGAATCTAAAAAAAAAAAAGAAAAAAAGAAATCCTCTGGTGGTAAGATGTTGCCCAATTCATGGAGATCTGATTTTGTCTTTGTGGCCACTTGTCTGTCTTGTTTACTTTGGTGTCCTTTCTGTTCTATTTTTGAGGTGGGGAAATTCTGGGTGAGGGTGGCCAGCTCACTCAGCAGATTCTGAATTCAGCTTGCTGATTGAGAATGGCGCAGTTCTAGTAGGAATGAACTGAGGGCCCATTAGTCCCCAACTCAGCTTTTGGCTGTTGTCTAGTTCTGCTTTAGAATTGGTACCTGTTTTAAGTGTGGATTCTTGGTTTTTGTGTTTATTTATATTTTTGTTATTTATTTGAATATCTCTGAGGAAATAAAAGTTCTAACCTCTGGCTGGGCTCAACCACAGACCTGCTAGGCTCGCGTCACTGTGAGGTATGTAAGGTTGCTGGACTAGTCTGGATCCTTTCAGGTCTTGGGCTGAATTTTCTCCTTGTGGAGGCTGCCTGAGCAGAGAGTGTGGAAGGCTATGTACCTGGTTTGGATTTTTCAGCGAGTCCTGACAATGTAACAATTTGTAAAGTGCTCTTGTCTAAAATTGGATAAAATTCAGGCCAGTTTAGTTTTAGGTGACCCCTTCAACCAGCCCTTCTCCAACAGGTGGGATTCAAAAGATCCGTTGATGAATTGCCTTGCTAAACAAGCGAGCCCTGGGAAAATGAAGCTTAACAAAGGTACTTAGTTTAAAAAAATACTGTCTTAAATTTTTGTTAAAAAAACTTTGAAAAAATCTATGTAAAACTGATTTTGATTTATGCACGCTTTAAGATCTGTGTGTTTTTTATGTGTTTGTAAACATGTTCAAGATAAAAATTGTCAACATGATGTAAAAATTGGGTGAATTTAAGTTTAAAATGTAAAAGGTTAAGAGGTTTAGACATTACTAAAAATTTAAAAAACTTTCACATTGTTTTAAATGGCTTTTTGAGGATTGTTTAACGTAAAAATTAGAAAATCTGTTATTTTAAATTTTAATATTTTTAAATGCTTTGGCAGTTTGGGATTTAGTTCCCTTGGCTAAAATTTCAGGATAAATATTAAAAATTTAAATGGAAAGGTCAATTTAGCACTGTTACAAAACATGACATGTTCTGTCTGTCTAAAACTGTATTTTATTCAAACCTCCCTACCCCCCAAAAAAGGGAAAATTTAGAAGACTACCTAAGATCTATATTTAGGGGTGAGGCTGAATAGGCAGAAGTGTATTTAAGCTGGTCATGCGTGGTGGGACTGACCCGGGGGGGGGTGCTTCATAGATGGTGGGACTGGCCCTGGGAGGAGTCCACACATGGTAAAAGAGGGCAAGCTGGCACAAACGCAGTTCATCTAACCTTAAAGAGTCAAATTGGGTGCAGGCACATTCCATAGGAGGGGCTGAGTTGCCCATCTTTGTTCTGTCCCTTTTCCCTGCAGATAGACCCTGAAAACATGATGGTTAAAATGAGTGATGTGAAGATCTGATTAGTATTGCTAAAACTGCCCCTTGTATGTGTTAAAATTAAAATTAAAATGGCCTTCAAAAGAGGGTTAAAAAGTTTATTTATATAATGTAACTTGCTTTCAATGATGTTCTACAATTAGGATGTTTTTAAAAGTTATAAAGGTGTTAAGCCTAGCTTCTTGGCATAGTAATGGTGATTGTAATTATTTTTTTTCTAGATTATTATTTGTTTTTATTGTGAAAATACTGTACAAAGGGGTTACAATTACATGGGCAAGATAATGAGTACATTTCTTATCAAGCATTGTAGCATCCTCCTTTGTTTCCCCTTCCCATCCCATCCTTCCCCTATCCCCCCATTCAAGCCTCCAATCACCCCTCACAAACTTTACAACCAAAGTTGTAAAGTTCGTTTTCGACATAACGACTTGTACATCTCATTGTTGCAATATTTCCACCTGTATCCCTATTTAAACGATTCGTTTTTTCCCTTACCCTCCACAAATTATACTAACATCAAATACAGTGAAAGCAGGGGTTATACAATGGGGGAGGCACATACAAAGCAACAAAGATATCATCTTATAAATGTGTTAGAAACAATCGCATGAAAGAAAACAGCATTTGAGTACATATTTAGGGTTCATTTCCCTAACATAAATTTATCTGAGCTTTTCTGCTTGATTCAGACATATACTATTTATTGGAAATAAGGAAAACCATGGGACCTATATTTCTTTGGGCCTGGCTTACTTCACTTAATATAATTTTTTCCAAGTCTTTCCATGTACTAACAAATGGGGCAATGTCATTCTTTATGATGGAGGCATAGAATTCTATTGTGTGTGTGTGTGTGTGTGTGTGTGTGTGTGTGTGTGTGTGTGTGTGTCGCATTTTCTTGATCCATTCATCTACTGAGGGGCATCAGGGTTGATTCCATATCTTAGCTATGGTAGATAATGCTGCAATAAACATATCGTGCTGGTACCTTTAGTGTGGTCTTGTTTGTGAACATTTGTGTAAATGCCCAAAAGTTGGATTGCTGGGTCATAGGTGAGCTCTATGTGGAGTCTTTTGAGGAACTTCCATACTCCTTTGCAAAGAGGTTGAACAAGTTTACACTCCCACCAACAGTGCAGTAGGGTTTACTTCTGTCCACATCTCCTCCAGCATCTGTTGTTATTAGAGTTCTTGATTATAGCCATTCTACCTGGGACGAGGTGGTATCTCAATGTTGTTTTGATTTGCATTTCTTTTATGGCTAGGGAGGTTGAGCATTTCTTAAAGTATGTATTGGCCCTTTTTCATTCCTCTTCAGAGAAGTTTCTCTTTAAGTATTTAGCCCACTTATTTATTGGGCAATTGTTTCTTTGAAGATTTGTTGTTGGGGGATTTAATTTTTTGAGTTCCAGGTATGTTTTAAATATGAGACCCTTGTCCGTTGTTGTATGGCTAGTGAAGATCTTCCCCCAATCCGTGGGCTTTCTATTGATCTTGCAAGCTATGTCCTTTGCCATGCAGAAGCTCTACAATTTCATGCAATCCCATTTTGTCCAACCTTTCTTTAATTTGTTGTCTTTCTGGGTCTCTATTAAGAAAATTTCAGCCTGTGCCAAGGAGACAAAGGGTTTCTCCTATTCCATCCTGTAATATTTTCAGTGTCTGCTTTGACTCTGATGTCTTTGATCCATTTGGAGTTGATTCTCATGCAGCGTGATATATAAGCATCTAGCTTTAGTTTTCTACAAGTAGTTAACCAAGCCAGCACCATTTACTGAAGAGGCTGTCTTTCTTCCATTCTATTTTTTTAGCCCCTTTATTGAAGATTAAATGGCTATAGGTCTGTAGGTTCATTTCTAGGTTTTCAATTCTATTTCATTGCTTCTGAGGTCTGTTCTTGTGCCAGTAGCAAGCTGTTTTGATTACTATGGCTTTATAGTCGAGTTTGAAATTTGGTATTGATATTCCTCCAGCACTGTTCTTTCTGTTGAGGATAGTTTTAGCTATTCGGGTTCTTTTATTGTTCCATATGACTTTTTGGATTGCTTCTTCTATTTCTTTGAAGAATGAGATGGGAATTTCGATAGGTGTTGCATTGAATTTGTAGATAGCCTTGGGAAGTATTGCCATTTTCACGATGTTGATCTTTCCAATCCAGGAGCATGGGAGTTTTTGCCACTTCTAAGTTCTGTTTTGATTTCCTTTTTCGTTTTAAAAGTTTTCATCATTGAGGTCCTTCACTTCTTTGGTTAAGTTAATTCCTAGGTATTTTATTTTTTTGTGGGGCTATTACAAATGGAGTTGCTTTCCTAATTTCAGCAACACTGTACTCATTGTTGGCATACAGAAAAACCATTGATTTTTGGGGGTTAATTTTTTACCCTGCTACTTTGCCAAAGTTTTAAATCAACTTGAGTAATTTGGGAGTGGAGTCTATGGGATTCTTTAAATACAAGATCATGTCATCTGCAAAGAGGAAGAGTTTTAATTCTTTTTTCTCTATTTGGATCACCTTTATGTTTGCATCTTGTCTTATTGCTGTAGATAAGAATTCTAATACTAGATTGAAGAGAAGTGGTAATAGTGGACATCCTTGTCTTGTTCCTGAGTTAAGAGGAAATGACTTTAGTTTTTCACCATTAAGTATAATGCTGGCTGTAGGTTTGTCAAATATAGCCATTATTGTATTGAGGAATGTTCCATGGATTCCTAATTTTTCCAGAACCTTCATCATAAAGGGCCGTTGGGTCTTGTCAAATGCTTTTTTTTGCATATATTGAGATAATCATGTGGTTCTTATCCTTGCTCTTGCTTATGTGATGAATTATATTAATTGATTTGCCAATATTGACCCAGCTTTGCATCCCTGAAATGAATCCTGTTTGATCGTGGTGTATGATTTTCTGGATGCGTTGTTTAAGACGACTGGCCAAAATTTTGTTGAGAAGTTTTGCATCAATGTTCATCAAAGTAATGGGTCTACAGTCCTCTCTCTTTAATGAGTCCCTGCCTGGTTTTTGGATGAGGGTTATCATAGCTTCATAGAATGAGTTCAGTAGTGAACTTTCTCTTTCAATTTTATTTAAGAGTTGGAGAAATATTGGTGTCGGCTCTGTTTTGAAGGCCTTGTAGAATTCCACTAAAAAACCATCTGGTCCTGGACTTTTCTTAGATGCGAAGTCTCTTATGGCTGTTTCTATGTCAAGCCTTGATATGGGCCTGTTAAAATGGTTTAACTCACCTTGGTTCATTTTTGGCATGTCAGTATTTGCTAGGAAAAGTCCCATTTCTGCCAAGTTTTCAAACTTATTAGCATAAATTTTTGAGAAGTATTCCCTTATAATGTTCTGTATCTTGGTTGTTTCTGTGGTGATGTTTCCATTCTTATCTCTGCGTTTATTTATTTGGGTGCGTTCTCTTCTTTTTCTGATAAGATTTGCTAAGGGTCTGTCAATTTTATTAATTTTTTTGAAGAATCAACTCTTTGGTTTGTTGATTCTTTCTATATTTTTTGGATTCTAAGTCATTTAATTCTGATTTAATTTTAATTATTTCTTTCCATCTACTGGATTGGGGTTTATCTTGCTCCTCTTTTTCAAGAAAGCTCAGATGTCTCATTAAATTGTTGGTTTCAGATCTCTCCAATTTGTTGATGTAGGAACTCAGAGCTATAAACTTGCCCCTGAGTATTGCCTTTGCTGTGACCCAGAGAAGCTGGTAATTTGCATGTTCATTTTTGTTGAATATCATGAACATTTGAATTTCCTTTCTCATCTCTTCCATGACCCACTCGTGAATCAGCAGTGTGTTGTTCAGCCTCCATGTGTTACAGGATTTTCTTTGGTGGCTTTTGGTGTTGAGTTCTAATTTTATTCCCTTGTGGTGTGAGAGAATGCAAGGTATAACTTCAATGTTTCTGAATTTGGACAAGTTTGCTTTGTGGTCTAAAGTGTGGTCTATTTTGGAAAATATTCCTTGTGCTGCTGAGAAAAACGTATATTCTGATGCTGCTGGGTGGAATATTCCATAGATGTCTGTTAAATCTAGTTGATCTATGCAGTTTTTTAGATCTCCATTTTCTCTGTTGAGTTTTTCTGAGTTTATCTATCTAGTGGGGAAAGTGGTGTGTTAACGTCCCCAACAATTCAAGTCTTTGGAGATATTGGGATTTGGGGGAAAATAGTGTTTCTTGCATAATTTTGGGTGCTCTGTTGTGTGGTGAATTGGGATTGT